TATCCGGCATCCACTAAATGCTTCACACTGGCTAGCGCCGGTTATATCCGGCATCCACTAAGCGTGTCGCATTGGCTCGCGTCTCAACAACTCAAAGTGAAGATTTATTTTATAATACAGAACAAGGGCCTCAACGACATTCCCTTTGTCCGATACACCCTTAAGTCCTCTGCTGTTCCAACGAAATCCTGTAAGATTTGAAAAAACGCGAGGCACTCTTAATGTGTATGGTGTGCACTAATGGCACGACGACCCGTTCGTTAGTGGCATACCGATGCCTAGTTCCGCCGTCGCGAAAGGGTTAACCAACCCGAAACGAAGGCGATCTCAACCGTTACGGCCCGTAACAGTCCACCTTCATAATTATGGGCTCATGTGTACTCCTAAGAAGCTAACTTACCGGAAGAATAAGAAATTGAACAAAAAAATTGAAAGTTCCCCGTACAATAATGATAAAAAAAGGAAAACGGGGAAAATGATAAAAATTTCGGCCTAATATACTTAGGTTTACTTTACTTCCAATTTCAGTCAGGTTCTGTGATCTCCATTTTTCAATTAACTTTATCCGATATATCTTGAGATATATCCATTCCGTGTATTAATATTAACATAACTATACTAATATCTGAAACTAACATCTACCTTACAGAATGGCGAACTCCATCAATTCAGCACTGGAAGTTATCCTTCTGATCGATCTGACGCAAACAAGCATAAGAATGGCTGTTCTTATATACAGTGCCCTTCTAGTAAGTTTCTCGCTCTAATCGAAAAAACAATATCCCCTCCCCCTTCAAGAAAAAGGAAGGATAATTTCATATTTCTAAAACACATTTAATTTTTCAGAGTCCCGAAGCAAATCTCGTGGGCACGTTCACATACGTTTTGTACATTTTGTTAGTCACGTCGTTGTTATACTTGTACTCGTTCATAGGTGAACGATTGGCATACGAGGTAAACGATTGACCCAACGTTCGAACGCGACCAATAAATTAGCCGATAATTTATTTTCTATTTAGTCGACGAAAGTGACCGAAGCGTACTATGATACCGAGTGGCAAGAATTATCGGTCCGTAATCAAAAGCTGTTGCTTCTTGCCATGCGTTCTGGACGAAGAACGTTATACCTTACAGCTGGAAAAGTGTACAATTTCTCCTTGTACGGTTTTATCCATGTAAGTATTACGAATATTAACCCTTTGCACTCGAACGGCGCTATTATGCCAATTTTCGTAATGTGTAGGGGAGAGTCGCGCAGTACCGGCCACTCTAAGTTTTTGTACTATAACTTGGGCTGACGTTGGTAAAAATGAAATTTCAAAAAAGTAATTTGTAGTAACAAAAAGTGCTTAATAAAAGGGGACAAATGATTTTTTTTAAATTTTCTCATAAAGATAAATAATTGGTGGAAATAAAAAAAAAGACGAAAAATCATCGTACAGTACCGGCCAAGCTACTTAGTTGGTAGATTTGAAGGTCTAAGTAATAAATGATGTTAGTAAAAATCATTTAAAAATAGAATAGAACTTTTATTTAGGCACGTCTACAAATATCACAAGTAAAGTGATCGATATTTTCTTGATCCGTACACTCCACGTGAGCCCAACCGTTGCATTTCACGCACTGCGCCCAATCTTCGTTGAAGGATTCTTTACAAACGATGCACTCAGTGACTTGTCCGTCAATACCTAGGTTCCTTCTTCGTGAGCTATCTTTTCTCTTACTTATCTCTTCTCGTAACTTCCTTCCTCTCTTGATTTTTTCATTTTTCTTTAGTATTTACTCAGCTTTTCTTGTTTTTGCTTTCAATTGTTTCTCATTAATCAGTTTCTTCTTTTCCTGAACATCTTCTGTAAAAGATACCGATGTTAGAATTACAGACTGTTGCGTCTGTCGTTTTCTCTGTGTTCTCCTTGTTTCTGAAATATTCTTTGCAGGAATGTTTTTAACAATTTTCATAAAATCGGAAGATACGCTTGCTCATTTCGGACATTTTTCTGCAGAAAAACAAAGAAGAAAAACCTAGCGACTTGAATTATAGGAAAAAATTTTTAAAAAATTTGGCCCGTACTGCACGACAACAAGCACGTGGAAGAACTTTTAGGTTTAATGCATAATATACAAAGCGAATTGCAGAAACCGGGGCATTCGTGTATACCTAATAGTCTAAAAATAATGTACTATAACAAAATTATTTAATTACCTGAAAAGTTAGAAATCAGCTATGAAAAATAACTTTTGTCGTACGGAACACCAGCGTAAACGTTAAACGTCTTAGAACTCTGGTAATACTGAAGAAAAAAGAACGTCGCCGGAATACGTTGCTCAGGGCTATAGTATTTATTTGTTTATCCATCGATAGTGCAGTCAACTAACAGTATAAGCGAGATCTAGCTTTGGCCGGTACTGCACGACTCACCCCTAAGTCTATGCAATCGTTGTATTTTTAAAAGAGGCTAACGAAGTACGCTATAATTTTATGGAACTTAGAAGAACTTTAAAAATACAATTATTTCGAGCAATGTACATAATGCAAGTAATTTTGGTTCGAACAACATCAGAAGAATTTATTTATTTTATAACAGATTATGAAAACCTCCTTCGGATACGTTTCTCTATTACGAACATTAACTTAACAAAACGGATATAAGGAATTTATGTTAAAAAGTATGCTGTCACGTTCTACATATTTTCAAAAATTAGAAATAAACTATTTTAACTTATATTTCACAGTATTTGATTTAACATTTATCGTTCTCTCTACAAAGAAATAAGTATCGCATTGTCAGAAAGTACTCTGTCACGCCAGACAGTGAACGTGTTAATAAGTAAATGTTGTTCAAATTATGTCGTGTTTGATGTCATTTTCATCAGGAAAATCTCGTCAATATGTTAAGAAAAATTTCGGGATAAAAAAACGTAAAATTAAAAAAGTTGGTATTTAAATCGCTTGGTTGCCTCGACTCACGTTTCATCCTTATCTTTTACTCGCTGTCCTTGTCTACGTTCGGCAAACTACAAAGGCGGGCGCGAGGCTCGAAAACGTAGTCCCTGACTCTACAAGTGTCCGGTTTAGATTCCTTGCGGACTGACACTTGTGGAGACATTACTGTATTGCTCGAAAACGTAGTCCCTGACTCTACAAGTGTCCGGTTTAGATTCCTTGCGGACTGACACTTGAGGAGACATTACTGTATCTCAAACCCATAGCACTTAATTTTGTCTGCCTGGCTAAAGTTGTGCGTTATTATAGTGTCCAACTATTCGAATAATTCGGATTACTTTTAACACGAATTCTTTATTCGAAATTCGAACACTTCGAATAAAGTATTCATATACGAAATCAATCGAATTATTCGAACAGCTCGACAAACACGAAGTTTCACAGCCCCAATACAAACTTAACCAAAGTTCGAAACGGTAGATTTCATTCGATCGCACAGCGAGAGAGCCACATTATCAGCATCTTCTGTGTGGGAGCTACGTAAGGAGCTTCGAGCATGCTCTATTACCCTAATAAACACATACTTTCAGCACACGAACCGTCGGTCTCCTTTATAGAATAGACGTATAGCTCGAACAAAAGAGAAAGATCCTATTGAAATTTTCATCCTATTCACAATTTTCCTCCTTTGCTAACTGAAATGTACATATAACAACTGTCGTCAGAAAATTTCTTTCGTAACTTCGTTTAATTGTTATGCAATCAAACGAATCTCCGTAACTGTGGTTACAACGAGAATGTATCGGATTAAATACCGTGGAAAAAATATATCGATAATCAGACGACCAATCGACAACTTTTAATTGAAAATCACCGATGAAACTCGAGATCGAGGCGCGTAATGGAGCACACTTGTCTACGATACGAATCAGTTGTTATATAAGATTACTACCTATCGATCGCCTGTACAAAACAGTACAACAACAATGTTCTTGCTATCTAAATTAACGTCAACGGATCGTAACTTCGTTGAAAGACCAAGGACCGCGATGAACGTTAGATACGCTCTATTAGAATTATGGCAATAAATTAAAAGATATTATTTTAATTATGAATCTTCTTTCATGCGAGGAAGGCACGTCGCTATGCAATCAATCAAACAAAACATCGACAAGACGCAGAGAAAAAAAAACGTATCAGCGTCACCCATACTAAACAGATGGTTACTGTTATTTCTATATATATTTTGGAAGTGACGTAAAGTAATTACTCGCGCAAGTTGTTTAATAAAAATATATTTATTTGAATCCGATAACGCTTAACCTAATTTTGAAGTGTAGGCGATGCCAGTCTACGACCAAAAGGCCACGTGCCTTTTTCGGGGCTCCCTTAAGTAGCCCCTTT